AGCTAGGCCTTCAGATGCTAATGAAGGTGGTCAGTTGAAACATTCACACCTAGCTCCAGCAGAGAAGAGCTCTTTGCCCCACCCCAGCCATTCCACAGATATATAAACCCATTGTCCTATTTCCAACAGACCTCACTACCTCTGAGGATGCTTGCCATAGATGCAGGCGAAACGTCAGGAGAAATGCCTCTAGAACATGGCCCTATAGCCCGAAAAAACCCACAAGAACCTAGTGATTCCAGCCATGGAAGCCTTCGACAATACATTTACATATATTATTTTACTTTAGTATTATTGTTATTACATTTATTATTTTACTTTCTTTATTATTATTGGAAGGATACGTAAGCACATTGACACTGAAAAAGGTTAGAATAATGGTTTAATCAAAGTTGATCAGTCTTATTTTAAATTACAGTTTTATGTAAACATTGAAAAACATTTAACCTACTGTTTTCTCTATGAATGTAATTTTATTGGTATCTATATTTATTTTGTATTACCAGTAGCTGCTGCGTTTCCCACCCTCGACTTATATTCGAGTCAATAAGTTTTCCCATTTTTTGGTGGTAAAATTAGGTGCCTCGGTTTATATTCGGGTCAGCTTATACTCGAGTATATATGGTATATCTTGTAAGCCGCTCTGAGTCCCCTTTGAGGTGAGAAGGGTGGCATATAAATGTCGTAAATAATAGGCTTGGGCGATCCAGTTCGTTAATTTCGTAATGCGTTATTGATTCGTATTTAAATTAGCTTACGATCCAATATCGAGCCATGCAGGAATAGTGTGAGGAGTAATTAAGAATCGAAACAATTTTTCCAATTTTCGTAATTATTTCGTAATTATTTTCGTATGTCTGGTGCAAGTTTTACAATCTCGCATTTACCCCACTTCCGGTCCCTTTGCTCTGCTGCTTCCCTCCTCTTTCCTCATGCTTCTTCTTGCCTCACTCTAATATACAATACTATAATATAATATATAATATTATAATATTATAATAATATATTATATTATATTATATTATAATTGTATAATATAATATAATATATATAATATATTATAATATAATATATATAATATAATATAATATACAATAACATAATATAACATAATATAATATATATAATATAATATATTTTAATATTATATATATAATATAATATATTATAATATAAAGTAATATTATATAATATACAATAACATAATATAATATATATAATATATTAATCATAGAATCCTAGAATCAAAGAGTTGGAAGAGACCTTCATGGGCCATCCAGTCCAACCCCATCCTGCCAAGAAGCAGGAATATTGCATTCAAATCACCCCTGACAGATGGCCATCCAGCCTCTGCTTAAAAGCTTCCAAAGAAGGAGCCTCCACCACACTCCGGGCAGAGAGTTCCACTGCTGAACGGCACTCACAGTCAGGAAGTTCTTCCTCATGTTCAGATGGAATCTCCTCTCTTGTAGTTTGAAGCCATTGTTCCGCGTCCTAGTCTCCAGGAAGCAGAAAACAAGCTTGCTCCCTCCTCCCTGTGGCTTCCTCTCACATATTTATACATGGCTATCATATCTCCTCTCAGCCTTCTCTTCTTCAGGCTAAACATGCCCAGTTCCCTAAGCCGCTCCTCATAGTGCTTGTTCTCCAGACCCTTGATCATTTTAGTCGCCCTCCTCTGGACACATTCCAGCTTGTCAATATCTCTCTTGAATTGTGGTGCCCAGAATTGGACACAATATTCCAGATGTGGTCTAACCAAAGCAGAATAGAGGGGTAGCATTACTTCCCTAGATCTAGACACTATGCTCCTATTATGCAGGCCAAAATCCCATTGGCTTTTTTTGCCGCCACATCACATTGTTGGCTCATGTTTAACTTGTTGTCCACGAGGACTCCAAGATCTTTTTCACACGTACTGCTCTCGAGCCAGGCGTCCACCCATTCTGTATCTTTGCATTATTTTTTCTGCCAAAGTGGAGTATATAATATAATAATATTATAATAATATAATATACAACAATATAATAATATAATAATAATATAATATAATATGATATAGTTGTTGTTTGTTTTATCGCACCAACAGTCAACAACAGAGGGAGAGGGAAGCTTCAGAAGTTCCCCCAGTCCCATTTGTAGGTGTTTTTAGCGCATTGCGCAATCGCGTCCACCATTAACGAATTGTTTCGTAATTTACGAAATTTCAGAAATTTCGAAATTTTGAAATCTTAAATTTCTGAAGTCCACAGAATTTAGAAACGCTAGCGCACCCTAGAAACGAAACGAGTTTAGAACCAATTTTTTTCTTGATCGCCCAAGCCTAGTAAATAAATAAAAATTAAATAACTCAACAGGCAACTGCTTTCTCTGCTTCTTCGACCCAAAGCAACGTCTCCAAAACGGCGACTTCGATAGCAAGACCAATGAACCTCTCTCCAACCTGTAATTCATTACTTCAATCTCAAGGAAATCATGAAAGTAACTCCATATTTGCACATCTTGGTGCAGAGGAAAGCTATGCTTGGAGAGCCTGGTCCCATTTCCCAGGCAACAGGATGCAACGAAAGAGATGCCTTTCTTCCCTCTGCTGGCTTTCATGGGCCACGAGACTCTTAGGAAAAAAGGGAAGGCAAAACATGTTGCCAAGAACACGCAAACAAGCCCCTTTCTCTTCCCTTTGCCAATTGCAAAGAGGGAAAAACACCAAGTCCAGCTGGTGTTGAACCCGGCAACGGCAGAGACGTGGATGGTTTGAAATGAGGCTGAAAGGTTTGGGATTCTAGTCACATTCCCAAGGCAACGGGATGAATTGAGCAGCCTTCAATCACTCTCTCGCCTGACGTCCAATTCCCTTTCCTTTGAATTCCGCTATCCATTAAGCAAGCATTCGGTGACACTTCTTTTGGTGGAAAGCCAACACATACCAGGGTGATGACCCGAAAGGATTCGGCTTCCTCCGTCTTTGGAAAGGCAATATATTGTCGAAGGCTGTCATGGCTGGAATCACTGGATTGTTGTAGGTTTTTTCGGGCTGTATGGCCATGTTCTAGAGGCATTCTCTCCTGACGTTTCACCTGCATCTATGGCAAGCGTCCTCAGAGGTTGTGAGGTCACTACCTCTAAGGATGCTTGCCATAGATAAACCCAAAAGGATTTGGCTTCCTCCTTCTTTAGGAAGCCAATATATTGTCGAAGGCTTTCATGGTCGGAAATCCCAGTAACTACAACTAGAACAGTGTTTCTCAACCTGGGGGTCAGGACCCCTGGGGGGGGTCACCAGAGGGTGTCAGAGGGGTCACCAAAGACCATCACATAACACAGTATTTTCTGTCGGTCGTGGGGGTCCTATGTGGGAAGTTTGGCCCAATTCTACAGTTAGTGGGGTTCAGAATGCTCTTTGATTTTAGGTGAACTATAAATCCCAGCAACTACAACTCCCAAATGTCATGGTCTATTTCCCCTAAACTCTACTAGTGTTCACATTTGGGCATATTGAATATCCGTGCCAAGTTTGGTCCAGATCCATCATTGTGTGAGTCCACAGTGCTCTCTGGATGTAGGTGAACTACAACTCCAAAACTCGAGGTCAATGCCCACCAAACCCTTCCAATATTTTCTGTTGGTCATGAGAATTATGTGTACCTAGTCTGGATCAATTGCATCGTTGGTGGAGTTCAGAATGCTCTTTGATTGTAGGTGAACTATAAATCCCAGCAACTACAACTCCCAAATGTCAAAGTCTATTTCCCCCAAACTCCACCAGTGTTCAGATTTCAGCATATTRAGTATCCGTGCCAAGTTTGGTCTGGATACATCATTGTTTGAATCCACTATGCTCTCTGAATGTAGGTGAACTACAACTCCCAAACTCAAGGTCAATTTCCAGTATTTTTTGTTGGTCATGGGAGTTCTATGTGCCAAGTTTGGTTCAATTCCTTCATTGGTGGAGTTCAGTATGCTCTTTGATTGTAGGTGAACTATAAATCCCAGGAACTACAACTCCCAAATGATAAAATCAACACACACACACCCTCCCACCCCACCAGTATTTAAATTTGGGCGTATCTGGTATCTGTGCCAAATTTGATCCAGTGAATGAAAATACATTTTGCATATCAGATATTTACATGACGATTCATAACAGTAGCAACATTACAGTTATGAAGTAGTAACGCAAATAATGTTATGGTTGGGGGTCACCACAACATGAGGAATTGCATTAAGGGGTCACGGTATTAGGAAGGTTGAGAACCACTGTTCTAGAGGCATTCCCTCCTGATGTTTTGCCTGCATCTATGGCAAGCATCCTCAGAGGTAGTGAGGTCACTACCTCTGAGGATGCTTGCCATAGATGTAGGCGAAACGTCAGGAGAGAATGCCTCTTGAACATGGCCATATAGCCCGAAAAAACCTACACCAATCCAAAGCCAATCTAGCTCGCCATCCACCATATTCAGCAAACCCTTTGCTTTGCTCTGCAATCTCTCCCTCCCCATTGATCCTTTTGCACATGACAGGAAAGCAAGGCAGCGATTCGACACCGAGAGTTATCCGTATCAAAACAGATACAGAGATGGCACAAGAAAAGGATCAATCCATCAGCTCAACAAAAGAAAAGATCAATCAATCAATCAATCAATCAATAAGCAAATACACTTACAGGCATACTTAAAAGACAAGACATGACAAAAGATTTTATGGAGAGATAATATACCAACGTCATACAGATCACGACGAGGCCATGTTGGTTGTCTTTTGCTGCTCTCCCCCTTTCAGTAAAGGAAAGGCTCTCTCTTATGTATTTGTCGAGTTGGTTTGGGTTAATGTAGGGGGCAAAGATATATATATTTGGGGGGAAGATGTCAGTTGGTGGCTTTCCAAGGCTGTGGACCGCTGCCTTCTCCTCCTACCGAGGGACCATCCACGGAGTCAGAAGCATCAAGACCGTAAAGCCAGCGGTGATTCAAGAAGAGCTTCGGGAACCCAACAGGAAGGTGCCAAGCCCTGCCCGGTCCATTCAACGGGTGCCCAAGAAGAACATGAGGATGACGTTGACCAGGAGCAAGACCACGATGACGGCGAAGACCACCACCGTCTGGACATCCAAGGTCATGGTGCAGTGCAGGACGCTGTAGTGTTCCAGATGTGGAGCGGGGAGGCTGGGGGCTGTCAACCTCTGCTCAGCGAGACTGTCCATACATCCACCATGCTAGAAGAGAGGAGGAGGAGGCAAAAGGAGAGACGGCGGTGGGTCGCTCTCGCTTTTGCTCACTCCGTCCCCCTCTCCCTCTGGTCCAGCCAACTCTGGCTCGCTCAGCTGGTGGCTTTGTTTGATGCTTGGGCTTGAGAGAAAGAGATATATATATATTTGGAGGAGGAGGTGACGGCGGTGGAGCGTTGGTTGAGCCTTGCTTGCTTTGTCTTCCTCCCTCTCGCCTTCCGTCTTTTCTTGGGTGGCTTTCAAGCTCTCAGCCTCTCCGAGGATGGCAGCAGCATCGTCGCCAACCAGTTGAGCGCCGCTGGAGAAGCCACAAGGAGGGAGGGAGGGAGGGAGAAAAAGGATGGAAGGAGAGAAGGAGGAGGAGGGGAAAAGAGGGGGAAGGAGGGGAGGGAATGGAAGGAGAGGCACCCAGGAGTGTCGGATGCGGATGGTGATGATGATGTCGACGTGGCCCAAGGCTCCTCTCTTTCTCTCTCGTCTTCAGGGCACTTCTGTCTGGGTGGATGGGATTCGCCAAGGCAGCATCAGGGGAGGAAGAGGAGGAGAGAAGAGAAGAGGAAGGCCGGGCCAGCGCCACAGCCCTGCAAGCCACCCCTGCCAGCCACCGCCACCCCGGCTCCTGCCTGTTGTTGATGCTGATGCTGAGGCTGAGGCTGCTGCCGCTGCAGCATCTCTCTCCTGGAAGGCAGCGGGCCCCCTTGCATACTAATGGAGGGAGACAAGAGGAGGAGGAGGAAGAGAGGAAGGAGTCGCTCTCCTGTCACTCACAGCCAATGTGGGGTGGGATGGGGGGGGGGGGAGATAACAGGAAAGGGAAGGGGGAGCAAGGGCAAATGTTCCTTCCTTGTTTCTAGTCTTCTTCCCATCTTTTTTCCTTCTCCCTTCCCTTCTTCCTTTCCTAATTCCTAGTTTTCTTTCTTTCCTTCCTTCCCTCCTTCCTTCTTCCTAGTTTGTTTCCCATCCTTTTTCTCTTCCTTCTTCCTCTCATTCTTTTCTCTTCCTTTCTTCTCCTTTTCCCCTGCTTCCTTCTACCCTTCTTTCTCTCGCATTCCTTTCCTCCTTCCTTCTTCCTAGTTTGTTCCCATCCTTTTCTCTTTCTTCTTCTTCTCCTTTCCTCTTCCTTTCTTCTCCTCCCCCCCCACTTCCTTCTACCCTTCTTTCTCTTGCCTTCCTTTCCTCCTTCCTAGTTTCCCATCCTTTTCTCTTCCTTTCTTCTCCTTTCCCCCACTTCCTTTTACCCTTCTTTCTCTTGCCTTCCTTTCCTCCTTCCTCCTTCCTAGTTTGTTCCCATCCTTTTCTCTTTCTTCTTCTTCTCCTTTTCTCTCCCTTTCTTCTCCTCCCCCCCCACTTCCTTCTACCCTTCTTTCTCTTGCCTTCCTTTCCTCCTTCCTAGTTTCCCATCCTTTTCTCTTCCTTTCTTCTCCTTTCCCCCACTTCCTTTTACCCTTCTTTCTCTTGCCTTCCTTTCCTCCTTCCTCCTTCCTAGTTTGTTCCCATCCTTTTCTCTTTCTTCTTCTTCTCCTTTTCTCTCCCTTTCTTCTCCCCCCCCCACTTCCTTCTACCCTTCTTTCTCTTGCCTTCCTTTCCTCCTTCCTAGTTTCCCATCCTTTTATCTTCCTTTCTTCTCCTTTCCCCCACTTCCTTTTACCCTTCTTTCTCTTGCCTTCCTTTCCTCCTTCCTTCTTCCTAGTTTGTTTCTCATCCTTTTCTTCTTCTCTTCCTTCTTCTTTTTCTACTTCCTTCTTTTCCTCCCTCCCTCTCCTCCCTCTCCTTCCTCTTTCATTTTCCCCCTTTCTTCTCCTTTCTTTTACCTGATCTATTCCTTCATCTTTTCTCTCCTCGTTCTCTTTCCTTTTATCCCCCAACCCTACACTCCTTTTATGCTTGCCTTTTTTCTCCATTCTTCCTTCCTTGCTTCTAGTCTTCTTCCCATCCTTTTTCCTCTTCCCCGCCTTTATTTTTCTTTCTTTCCTTCTTCCTAGTTTTCTTTCCTTCCTTTCCTCCTTCCCTCTTCCTAGTTTGTTTCCCATCCTTTTCTCTTCCTTTCTTCTCCCTTCCCCCGCTTCCTTCTACCCTTCTTTCTCTTGCCTTCCTTTCCTCCTTCCTACTTTGTTTCCCATCCTTTTCTCTTCCTTCTTCTTCCCACCCTTTTCTCTTCCTTTCTTCTCCTTTCCCTCCTGCTTCCTTCTACCCTTCTTTCTCTTGCCTTCCTTCCATCCTTCCTTCCTCCTAGTTTGTTTCCCATCCTTTTCTCTTCCTTCTTCTTTACTACTTCCTATCTTTTCCTCCCTCCCTGTCCTCACTCTCCTTCCTCTTTCATTTCCCCCTTTCTTCTCCTTTCTTTTACCTGATCCCTTCCTTCCTCTTTTCTCTCCTCTATTTCCTTCCATTTCTTTCCTTTTCTCCCTCATCCCTCCACTCCTTTTCCCCTTGCTTGCTTCTACCCTTCTTTCTCTTGCCTTCATTTCCTCCTTTATTCTTCCTTCTTTCTTTCCTTCTTCCTAGTTTTCTTTCCTTCCTTTCCTCTTTCCTTCTTCCTAGTTTGTTTCTCATCCTTTTCTCTTCCTTCTTCTTCCCATTCTTCTTTCCACCTTTCTTCTCCTTTCTTTTACCCGATCCCTTCCTTCCTCTTTTCTCTCCTCTATTTCCTTCTCTTTCCTTTTATCCACCATCCTAACACTCCTTTTCCTCTTTCCTTTTTTCTCCATTCTTCCTTCCTTGCTTTCAGTCTTCTTCCCATCCTTTTTCCTTCTCCCCTCCTTTTTTTTCTTCCTTCTTTCTTTCCTTCTTCCTAGTTTTCTTTCTTTCCTTCCTTTCCTCCTTCCTAGTTCGTTTCCCATCTTTTTCTCTTCCTTCTTCTTCCCACCCTTTTCTCTTCCTTTCTACTCCTTTCTCCCCTGATTCCTTCTACCCTTCTTTCTCTTGCCTTCCTTTTCTCTTCCTTCTTCTTTACTACTTCCTATCTTTTCCTCCCCACCCCCTGTCCTCACTCTCCTTCCTCTTTCATTTCCCCCTTTTCTTCTCCTTTCTTTTACCCGATCCCTTCCTTCCTCTTTCCTCTCCTCTATTTCCTTCTTCTCTACTTCCTGCCTTTTCCTTCCTCCACTCTCCTACCTCTTACATTTCCCCGTTTTCTTCTCCCCTGCTTCCTTCTCCCCTTCTTTCTCTTTGGTTCCTTTCCTTCTTCCTAGTTTGCTTCCCGTCCTTTTCTCTTCCTTCTTCTTTACTGCTTCCTGACTTTTCCTCCCTCCCTTCACTCACCTTCCTCTTTCATTTCCTCCTCTTCTCCTTTCCCCTTTGCTTCCTTCTCCCCTTCTTTCCCTTTCCTTCCTCTTTTCTCTGCCTTTCTCCTCTTCTCCCTCCACCTGTTTACCCCCTTCCTTTTATACTTTTCCCCTTTCTTTCCTTCCCTGCTTTCTTCTACGCTGCTTCCTTTCTTTTCCTCCCTCTCTCCATGCCTCTTTCTCTCTTTCTTCCTCCATTCCCCATTACTTGCTTCCCCTCTTACTTCCCCTCCTTTTATATTATTATTATTATTATTATTATTATTATTATTATTATTATTGAGTTCTCACTCATAGAACTCAACCCAACTCAGACATCAAAATCCAACCGCACTTTTCAAATTTGATGGCAAATCATCAGAATTCCATAGCAAACCCAAAACTCCCTCAAAACGAAGCAATAAAATGGCGTTGACATACAGTCTCAAACCAACATCTTGGTGACTTTGCTAACACGGCAGTCCAAAATACAAGATATAACAAACAACGTATCTTATTAAAAGGGGAAGGTGCTGGACCCATAGATTAGCATTCCAAGTGACACATGTTTGACTTAAAGGACTTTTTGTGGACTTAGATGAAGGGTTAAAAGGCATGATCATCAAGTTTGCAGACGACACCAAATGGGGAGGGAGAGCCAATACTCCAGAGGACAGGAGCAGGATTCAAAACTTAGAGAGATGGGCCAAAACTAACAAAATGAAGTTCAACAGTGACAAATGCAAGATACTCCACTTTGGCAGGAAAAACGAAATGCAAAGATACAGAATGGGGGACGATGCCTGGCTCGAGAGCAGTACGTGTGAAAAAGATCTTGGAGTCCTCGTGGACAGGAAGGTGAACATGAGTCAGGAATGTGATGTGGCGGCAAAAAAAGCCAATGGGATTTTGGCCTGCATCAATAGGAGCCTAGTGTCTAGATCTAGGGAAGTCATGCTCCCCATGCTCTATTCCGCTTTGGTTAGACCACACCTGGAATATTGTGTCCAATTCTGGGCACCACAGTTCAAGAGAGATATTGACAAGCTTGAATGTGTCCAGAGGAGGGCGACTAAAATGATCAAGGGTCCTATGAGGAGCGGCTTAAGGAGCTGGGCATGTTTAGCCTGAAGAAGAGAAGGCTGAGAGGAGATATGATAGCCATGTATAAATATGTGAGGAAGCCACAGGGAGGAGGGAGCAAGCTTGTTTTCTGCTTCCCTGGAGACTAGGACGCAATGGAACAATGGCTTCAAACTACAAGAGAGGAGATTCCATCTGAACATGAGGAAGAACTTCCTGACTGTGAGAGCCGTTCAGCAGTGGAACTCTCTGCCCCTGAGTGTGGTGGAGGCTCCTTCTTTGGAAGCTTTTAAGCAGAGGCTAGATGGCCATCTGTCAGGGGTGATTTGAATGCAATATTCCTGCTTCTTGGCAGAATGGGGTTGGACTGGATGGCCCATGAGGTCTCTTCCAACTCTTTGATTCTATGATGGTTTAGTAGGAGTGGGGTGATTGGTGGCCACATCTGGTCAAATATGTCCCATGAAATCCTTTGTTTTAAGCCCATTCCGCCTCTGAAGATGCTTCTCTCAGACTGGATATCTGTGTTACCATCAAAGGAATGTTATGTTTTGTGCGTTTTATCTTGGTTGTTGTGTTGTATGATGCTCCTATTTTAATGTATTGTATGGATTGTTTTGCTTTTATGTCTTGTGGACATTTTGTCCCATATGTAAGCCGCCCTGAGTCCCTTGGGGGAGATGGTGGCAGGGTATAAGAATAAAGTTGTTATTGTTATTATTCTTCCCATCGACCTTTGCGTCCGTCACGAAAACGAACACCGAACGCCATGCGCCGAGGTGACGGAAGATGCTGTCGATTCATAATAGCTCCTAATCAGCTTGGCACCGTGCGACATATTTTGCATTCATGCCACAATGGTATTAGCAGCCTTCCTCCTCGGAGATGGGGGCAGGATGTTGGCAGAAAATGATGCCGCTCCATTAATCTTGTCCCAGAATAGCAGAGGAAAAGGAAGTGGGAGGGAGGGTGAAGGTGAGGGGTAGGAAAAAGGTGAATGCTAGAAAGCTTTGGCTGTCGAAGGAAGGGAAGGAGGGAAGACACCGAGGAAAAATCATGAGCCACTGGGTAGGATGAGCAAGATGTTGCGGATGATGGTGAGAATCTCTCATCCACTTATCTGCTTGGTGACAGCTGAGAGTGGGACTTTTAGGGCAACAAATGTAGGGTTCCACCAATGGAACCATTTCAAAGGGGCCCAAAGTGCATCCATTAAACCCACTGGATTTAGCTTTGTGTTGACACGCCATTGACTAGCTGGAAGGTGGCCATACTTTAC